GCTGCTGAGGATAAAGAGAAAACAGCTTTTTCAATTGGAAGAGGGTTATGGCAATTCACAGTTATGCCATTTGGACTTTGTAACGCTCCAGCTACCTTTGAACGTCTAATGGAAAAAGTTCTTCAAGGTTTAATATCTAAAATTTGTTTAGTTTACTTAGACGACATAATAATTTATGGAAAGAATTTTCAGGATATGATTTCAAATTTAAGAAAAGTCTTTCGACGTTTACGGGAAGCTAATTTGAAGGTTAATCCAAAGAAGTGCTTATTTTTAAACAAAAAAGTTAAATATTTGGGGCATTTAGTGTCGTCGAGGGGAATAACCACAGATCCCGAGAAGGTTTTGGTTGTGAGAGAATGGCCGATTCCCACTAATAAGAAACAAATCCGTAGTTTTCTGGGTTTTTGTTCTTATTATCGGAAATTTGTTAAAAATTTTTCGGTTATAACAAAACCCTTGTATGCATTAACGGAAAACTTTAATAAATTCTTTTGGAATGATCAATGTCAAAAAGCTTTTGAGAAATTAAAACAATCTTTGATCTCTACACCCATTTTGTCTTTTCCGTTGAAGAAGGGGAATTTATATTTATTATATTATATAATTATTTTTAAGCGTGTCAACCAAGAAGTTGGTGGAACGATTGCCGGATGTCTTTCATTAAAGGAAAGAATTGAGTGTTTCAAACGACCTCCCACCCGGAGGACGCCCTGAGCATCTAAAAACGGATTGAGGCGAAGGAGCTGGCTGCACGTTGGCAATGGTGACTTCGTCTCCAGTGCCGTGACCTCCTTCGCATAATGCAGTTTCTGCACAACGCGAAGCCAGGTGCGGAGTGCGCAGGCAATTTCGTCAGGCGTGAGAACTTGGCTCGTGGACTTGCCCGCCGTTGGTGGGGCCGAACTCGCATTGCGGCGCCATCGCAGGCACCAAGCTGTGGTGCAGAGAAGGCGATGCAAGGCTGAGTAACGGAGCAGCAAGTCGGGTTCTGAAGTGTCTACCTTGGTAACGTGAGTAAACACTCGTTGCTCCAAAACTTCCTCGGCCGGGTCGTCGCCCGGGTCGCGCGGCCAGCAGGATTGATCGAGTTTAAGCCACGCGGGCCCGTCCCACCAGAGCGAGTGATTGAGAAGTTCCTGTGGAGAGAGGCCTCGAGAGGCACAGTCGGCCGGATTATCCTCTCCAGGAACGTGATGCCATTTTGCGTCCGGAAGACGCTGTTGTATGTGCGATACTCGATTCGCGACATACATCTTCCACCTTGACGAGTGCTCCCGGATCCAGTGCAGGGTCACTGTGGAGTCTGACCATAAGTGCGTGTGGGCGGTAGACACTTCCAACGTGTCTTGGTAATGGTGCACGAGATTTGTTAAAATTGTGGCCGCACAGAGTTCGAGACGAGAAATGGATACTTGTTTCAACGGAGCCACCCGTGTTTTAGACGCGAGAAGACGCACGGAAATGTCACCTGACGTTGCTGTAACACGAAGATAGAGCACTGCCGCGAAACCACGCTCAGACGCGTCGGCGAAGCCGTGCAGCTCAAGCTTTGCCTTGCTATCTCCAGTGCCCACCCAGCGTTGTATCCGCACCCCCTCGAGAACTGGGAGTTCGTCAATTAGATGCCATGTGCGCGCGTCGGTCGAAGGCAGTTGTGTGTCCCAATCCAGCCCCTGCATCCAGGCGGACTGGATCAGGAATTTTGCGCGGTCTACAACGGGCGCGAGCCATCCGAGTGGATCAAACAGCCGAGCTGTTTCCGCTAGTGCCATTCGTTTGGTAAAAGTGGCAATCTTTCGCGGATTTATCTTGAATCCGAAGCTATCGGCGGCGGGAAACCACCTCAAACCGAGAGTCGAATGGTTTTCGCCCTCCCATGCGTGAGAGGTTGTCTCCAGACGATGCGCGAGAGGAATTCCGGCGAGCAACTCCTCATTGTTGGCTGCCCACTTTCGGAGCGGAAATCCGCCTGCCATGCACAACTCTCGCAGCTGTGTCTGAACAACTATCGCGTCGCGAATTGTGTTTGCGCCGGTGACAATGTCGTCCACGTAGCAGTCCCGCTGAAAAACTGTCGCGCCGAGCGGATACCGGAAGTGCTCGTCGTCGGCCAATTGCCGTAGTGTCCGGATTGCGAGAAACGGTGCACTGGCTAGCCCGTATGTGACAGTATTCAATTTATATTCGCGCACTTCTTCTGATTGCTGCTTCCGCCACAAGATGCGCTGGAAGTTCCTGTCGTTTGAATGTACCAGTATCTGACGGTACATTTTTTCGACGTCAGCTATCATCACGAATCGATGCCGACGCCATCGCGATAGAACGTCAGACAAGCCAGATAAGAGGTTAGCTCCGATGTATTGATTCGAATTCAACGATTCACCGGTCGAGACGCGCTGTGATCCATTGAACACTACCCGGAGCTTCGTGGTGGAGCTTGACTCCCGAAGAACGCCGTGATGTGGTAAGTAGCATACTAACTCACCTAGCCGTGTGGCGTTCACCTCCGTCATGTGCCCCAGGTCCTCGTATTCTTTTAGGAAGGCATGGTACATGTGTCCGAACCGGACATCCTGGGCGCCCTTCCGTTCCATGGAGGTGAGAAGATGCACGGCTGACCGGCGGGTTTCGTGGAGAGCAGCAGGCTGCGTCTTGAGCGGGAGCCACACCATGTAGCGTCCGGTTGGGAGCCGAGAGTGTGTGCTGGCGTAATGGTCCTCGCACTTCTGCTCTGCGGGCGTTAAGGTGACGGAGGGCTTGGCCTCCTCCTCCTGCTCCCAAAACTGCCGAACCAGTTTGACGAGTTCATGCTCGATGGAGCACTGGCATGAGGCGGCTTCGTGAAGCGATGTGTCGGATGAGCCTCCTGACAGAATCCAGCCGAAGATCGTATGCTGAGCAATGGGAGCGTCGACTTCACCCTTGCGAAGGCCTTCCTCGATTATGACGGAACAAACCTCGGCTCCGAGCAGAAGCTCGACGGTATCTGTCGCTGAAAATTCGGGGTCTGCTAGAGGGAGACCTTGAAGGTGTGGCCATGCGTTGCCCTGCTGAGAACCTGTGCTTTGATACAGCGACAAGCGCGGCAGCACGACAGCAACTGCAGAGATGGTCGCTCCAGTCACCGTGAAAGTGAGTTGCAACGTGACCTTTCCTCGGAGCTGTCCCGGAAAGAGTTCGTCCGATTCCGAAAATGGCGAAGGTGGATTTGGCACGTTGCAGTTTGAGTCGCTGAGTCAAGGTTTCGGATATCAAGGACACTTCTGATCGATCGGCGCTCGCACTTTATGTGGAATGCCATAGACATCGTTGACGGAGAGGCGTGCAGCAGAGAGAGAGTGGCCAGCAGGATGGCCTTGTGGTTCTTGCGTGGTTGCGAGACCGTTAGCGCACTGGCCTCGGCGATCGCTGGCGGCGAAGACGATGAAGTGGCGTCATGCAAAAGCAAATGGTGTTTCGCGTTGCACAGGATGCACGTCTTGGTCGACGGGCATTTGGAGAAGGCATGGTTGCCCAGACAATTGGAGCACAGTCTGTGGTTGTCGACTATGATCTTCCTGTCCTTCGGAGTCTTGGCCCGAAACTCACTGCACGCCATGAGAAAGTGGGAGCCCTTACATAGAGAGCAGGTGCTTGATCCGAAGATGGACCTGGCGTGATTCGATTTCGCGGACCGAGAGCTGCTGGCCTTGGCTTGGCCAAATTATTCTCACTTTTGACGGTGGCTGGTGCAAGGGCTTCGAGAGTATCTTTTTGATGAGGAAAGTTTGGAGTGCTGCAAACTCTGGAGGATTTGACGACGTCCGGATGGCGGTTTCCCAATCGCGTCTCGTCTGTGGATCCAGGAGCTCTACCACGAGATGAATAAAGAGATCCATCCTGTGGGTGGCGATTGGTCGACCGAGACTTTCTTGCGCATTGGCTGCGCAGGTCATACCTTGAAAGACACGTCGCAGTTCAACAGCGGATTCACTCTTCATTTTGGAGACAGCGGTGAAAGCGGTGAAATTGGATCGCACTAAGACTCGCTGATTTTCGTAATATTCCTTGAGCGTGGCCCAAGCTTGCTCAAAGTTATCGCTCGTAAGAGGTAGATCGCGGATTAACTTGCTTGCTTCACCTTGCAGGGATGTTCGCAGATAGTGGAACTTTTTTACGTTAGTCAATGAAGGATGCTTGTTCACAACGGAGAGGAACAGATCGCGGAATGAGAACCAGTCTTCGATTGCCCCTGAAAATTGTGACAGATTGATTCGAGGCAACCGTGGATTGTATGAGGCGTGCTCCCCGGTAGGATTGATTGTCTCTGGCATTAGCTCGAAATTTCGTTCGGATCGTTGGAGATCGCACGATCAGTCCGTCAAGGCTCCCCGTTGCAGCACGTAAGTCGTTTCCGTTGTTTCGTATAAGTCATCCTTGATATAGTTGGTCGCGCTAAGCTTGTCGGAGAATTTTGAGCGGAGCAATTCGTGTTGAGCATCAAATTTTGACCAAGCGGCATCGAGAGTCTTGATTTTCGCCTCGATTATGCCTGAGGTCACGTTAGATTGATCTTGCTTCTTTAAATTCTCAACCGCACGGGCCATACGGGTGAAAAGTACGTGCTGTTCATTAATAAGAATGTTCATCTCACTGCTCATTTTTACAACCGTCCCCTTTTGCAGGTTGCACTGACACGGATTATTGGAGTTTACTGGAGTTCGCGCACTCGCGACGTTGGACAACGGACGTGGCAATCCGGCTCGAAGGACCAAAAATTAATGTTCACAAGCGCGCGTTGCGATGAAAATTTTGTTGGTTTCACAGGCGGCGGTTGCTTTCATATTTTCGTTCAAAAAATATATTTAAAGCGAGGTGGAGTTTAATTTCGAATTTATTTAACTTACACAAGTAATAGAAACATTAACAGTTTAACAAGTAAGTTACAGAAATTTCGCGCGTGTCTTGCGACTTACAGAATCCGTGAGGACCTAGTGATAACGACCAAAAGAAATTACGCGATCCATTTGCTTCTGACTTTTGCTGAAGAGTGAGGGTCCTTTTCGGAGCGCGACGTTTTCAAAGGGGGAGTCGCCGGCGACGGTTCTACCTAAAACCCACTCAAACCCTCCCTTTTAAAAAGTTGAAGCTTGTCACCAAGCACAATCCGATATTGACGCAAACAACTTAGTCATCGACGGAAAGCCTGTTTTCGCGAGCGGGATAGGCTGCAGGGCTGTCACGTGACTGTGCTCGCGGCATTTGCTAGAATCGTGTCGTCATGTTGCTACATCGATTTCCTTACTAACAAGGTGACATCAACAATCTATTGGTGTAAACAAAAAAAGGGGGAAGCTAGCCTCCTCTTCTCTGAATGCGCACTTTTGAGCAATTAAATTTTCGCATGATATTTTTTGCATACGAATTTATGCACAGGTTGCGACAGTGGTAATGTTATGAAGACACATAGAAACCGTCATCGAATCACCTGTCGAACAGATACCGCTGTTCGGTTGAACAGCTATCGATCTGTTCTATCGAATCGATATCGCTCTTCTGTCTATCAGTCTTAACTACAAAGAAATCACATCTAATTTTTCATTTGCGACCAGCATCAGTTAGATATTTTATACGTGTTGTGACGTGACGTTTTTCGACCGTCCGTCACAAGGGTCGTAATGCCCGACCGAAGGAGCGCGGTTTTGGATCCTGCGTCCTCCCCGATTTAGGGAGGCGAGCGTATCCGCGCGCGTGCGTTGTCGTGGCATAATTTTGACGCGTTTCACTTAATCTTCTCTTTTCGCACGAGCGTAACCTAGGTAGAAATCGGCGGCATAGTTGAACAGCGTGTATAAACTCGTCGACTCTACCAACCAGCGTGAGGAAGGAAGAGAACACCGACATCGAGGCAGCTGACGCGCCCTGGAAGTACGGAGCACGCAGGTTGAGTACTATTCTCCGAAACAATTAATGCCGGTGCCCGTTATCGGGAGCCTTTACTGCTGTAGATTGTTTTCATCGATCAGTAATGGGAGCAAGAGCCGCGTACTCGGAAAAGCCAGACCACATTTGAAGCTCGCGCCGCCGATTGCGGGCGATCCGATCACGTGCGGGGCCGCGATTTGTGGGCGTCGCGCCCACAGGGCAAAGGCCAATCGGCGCGTTATCAGCCGATCCCGTGACGCCTCGCGACCGGCATGCTGCCGGAAGAACCGTCGAGCGACACTTGTGCTGTGATCGTTACCTGGGAAGGACGCAGGATCCGAGTAGCTGGCGAGTGACTGAACAAGGATTAGAGATCTTAGCTACCGCTCTTGGTGAGACGAACGTCGCCAAAGTATATTGTCGGCCGCCGGTTTCGTTGTCGGGCGGATCGCGCTATTAAAGTTCTGTCGTTCGTATAATTGTGTGTCCGCGAGTCGAGTCCGTGTCTCGCGCCGTCCGCCCGGCAAAAGTTACGCGAATTTAAGTAGTTGCCGTTGCGCTCGCCTTGCCACAGCCGGGTCATTTGTGCGTCATTTACGTGTTATTTTGTGTTATTTGTGCGTTGCGAATTTATCTAAACCATTGCGTGCTAGCGTGCCGAGTTTTCGGCAAAGTTCGAGAATATCGCGATACCACGTGGCGTACCCTCCGCGTGTCGCGACGTTGCATTTAGCGAGTCCGAATAGACTTTACCGCGAAGAGCTTGTACACCAGTTATCCCCGGGAGCGTTCCTGAACGCGCGAATCTCGACATCGACGAGAACACCGACGGTTGCCGCGGCGTTAGTGGTCAAAAGGATCGCTTGTACACCCCAGCACACGCAATTATATCTGTAATTTGTTACCAAATTTATTGTGTATTTGATAACGCCCTTGCTCTCCCGCATCCCTTGCGCTCCTACGAACCGCCCCTCTACCAGATTTCAGGGCTGAGTACCGGTCATTCGAGTCGTCTCTCGGTCACGGCAATCAGGTTTCCGAGTTCCTTAACTATTTCGTGTCGTCTGTAATTCAGTTCGAGTATTTAGAAGGGTGGCACGCCCGCTTGTGTCTGGCGCCCAACTTTGCGTTACCGGTGATCGCGCTCTTGTGAAGCATTAGAATCGCGACTACGTTGTGTCCTGACTGTAGCGACGCCGAGAACGACGAGTCTTGCTTTCCGGCTTGTAAAAGCGGTTGCAGTGTCAAAGGTAAAAATGAACATTCTCACACACACGTCATCTCCCAATGTTGCAGGAATACCGTGAAGGCACACAGTATGAAATCGCTATCGAACCGCCTATCGAACCGATACCTCTGTTCTACCACAGTATATACAGTAGCGCAACTCTCGCGATTCTGCGTGTACGAAATTGAACTGCACATGCGCGAGCTCCGGGTGTAACCAATCACGTAACAGATTTTCTATCGCACTTGCTCTCTTTACTTTTCTATAGTGCTCTCTGTCATTTAAATGCCCGAACGGCCAAAA